ACTCAGAAGGGAAATAATGTACAGGCCGCTACCCTCAGGGGGGAAGTCTGTCCCAGATATTGCTACGAAGCTGCTGTGCATTTTCCTGGCCTCTGTGCTGAGAGGCTTTGCAACAGCACCTGAAGCGCGTACCTGGACTTATTTTTCCAGGCTCTAGGTAGGTAGGGAGGTGTTCAGAGTGTGGAGTGTCAGACCCAAGCTGGATGTCCCACTCTCTGACACATGCCCTGCAATTTATGGGAAAGTTAAAAGTTTTCTAACATCTCACCCAATTGGCCATATTCCCCTCCGAGAAGTCAGCGTCCAAAAACTGGAAGATTTCGTTGCACCCCAGAACAATAGGCAGACCCCTGTGGGCATTTTAACATCAGCCCAAACAAGGAAGGTGTGGAAACACACACCCTCTAAGTTTCTGTGCAGTGTTCACAGAGACTTAGCCTGGAGTGTCATCCAGCAGTTCTTACCGGTGTGAACCTTCTTGTACCATAGGGGCCCTCGCTGTGTTATGGTGGGCTGTGATGAGGAGGAGACTGTGACTCATCTCCTGTGGTCCTGCATTTTTGCTAAGGCCTTCTGGGCCCAGTTTGAACACTGGTTGCAAGCTCTCTCGTCCCAATTTTCCCTGACCGCTGCTTTCGTTTTATACGGCGTCTCTCCTGTCAAACACGTCAGGAGGAAGGGCCGTGGTGAACAGTGGGAAAGACGCCCTGTGGAGGGTGAGGAACATGGGGGTGTTCAAAGGCATCGAGGTCCCAGTCAAGGCAGCAGGTAGCCTTGCCCTGTTCATCACCCGAGAGAACTATTACCTCAGAGATCTGTGGAGAGAAGGGAGGGAGGAAGCAGAAAATCTGTGGGAAATAGAGGTCATAGGACAGTATCTCAAGATGCTGCGATAAACATTATCATGTTTAAGTAAAGAATGTAATTTGCCTCAGAACAAAATAAATTGTTGCTATGTAACTGGTTCTGTGTCAAAATGTAATGAGATGTGATCATACTGTATATACTGTTTTAAGTATGTATATTAATGTAAAGCTTTCTAATTTGTGATGCCCTGTATTTTTTTTGTGAAAAGAAAATAAAGTTCTTAAAAATCGAATCATCTCCATTAGTCCTTTGTCCTGAAAGAACCTAAATACACTACAATAATTGGTGACACTGTGATGAGAAGCAACATAAAATATTAATTCCTTTTTTTAAGTAAAGCAACTGCATTGGTCTGGCTTTGTCTTGGGCACCTAAAACACCATGAGAAATGATAAATTCAGCATCCCGTTGCAAGTTGTCGTTAGAATGAAAATTATTAAGGCTTTGGAGGTGCAGTACTTGTGGTTATGAGTATGAATAACGTCAGAAGTTGATCAAAATTAAAAATGGAATTGATTGCTGGCAGAATCAATCGTTGTTTTTCTTTATTAATCATGTACTGTATACGTCTGTACAAAATGAAGTCAATGTTAATCATTTCATTCAAATGAGCTACTTAGCAGCAAGGAATATTAAATAAACTGCTGTAGGAAATTGTAAGAGATATAATAACCTTTAGAATTAACCTTTAGAATTTTATTGTGCACGAATAAAGATTTTACTTTGAATTGCCAGCATAACTGAATGTTTAAATTCATGGTAATGTTACAGATGATTTATTGTTATCAAATGATTTTAATAATAATGGTAAATGGTTTTATTACCTTTAAAACTGGTACCATATGCCTTTTGACATACATGTACTTGTATTAGTATAAAGTAAGCATTGAATTCACTTAGGGCTCTTAAGAAAATTAAAAGATTTTCAGTAACAAGGATTTAATTGCTTGCAGATTCACACATACTGTACATACAAACACATACATGAATATATATGCCATGGATAACCATACAGTATGTTTGCATAGAAGGCGTTGTACGCAATTTAAAAAAAAAACTACGGTAGAAGCCAGATTTGCATTTGGGTTCATATTTGTTTTCTTATCTGTCAGGTGTGCAAATTAAACATATTGTGTTGTAACCACCCTTTCTTTATGTTCTATAGTGTCATTAATCAGAAATACAGCATATATGATCTGGTGAGTCCATGTGCAAAAAATACTAACATATTTTTTAATTTTTATTATTTGAATTTTGAAGTTTTTGACAAAGGACTTTAAAGGGATTTTATAACTATTAGGCCAATTAAACACAATTAAACACACTATAAAGCTTGCCCTGTTGTCTTTTTTTTCATGTGTTTCTTGTCAGTTTGGTATTCATCATATAATTTATTATTCCAGTAAAAAAATGCACTTTGAAAAACTGATAGTATACAGCAAATTCTTTACTTAAACATGATAACACTTTATTCAATACAGTGAGTATTGAATATGTTCATCCTTTTGTGTGCCTTCCATGCATACACATTGTGGTCACAAATTCTGGTCATACTGAGCCAAAGTAGAAGTGTGTATTGTGTCAGTAATTATGGAAACAGTGTTCAAAAGAGTCCCGTTCACTGCTGCCGTTATCTCAATAGGAAAAGTAATTTTACTAGATTCTTTGGTGAAAGACAATAGACTAAACCACTATCCAGGTGAAAATGAAGGTGAAATGGTTTTACAAAGAAGGTGAGTATCTTTCAGTGTTTGTGTTTTAAATCATTTAATATCTCTTCATTGTTAAATTGAAGTTACTGATACAACATACAACTGCAGGTTTTTTATGGTTCGGTTTTAAAATAGAGAAACATTCAGTATTTTTACCAACTTACATTATTTTACAGGGAAAGAAGATCTCCATTACTGATATGAAAGCTAATGATTTAGATGCAATTGAAATTGGTAACTTATAAGAAGACATTTCAGGTTTTATTACTTGTGTGTTAAACTCTAAGACCACATCAACAGCAGTTTAGTCACAGTAGATTAAAAACATAAAAATGTTTATGTGGCTTTTAAAAGGCAAAACCAGGAATAAATTAGAGCTTGCAAGTACAGTCCAAGCTACAGCTAAGATAATTAAATTAGTTTTTAATATTGTAACCGTTTATTTTTGCTAAAACATGCTAATTGTTGCTTGATATTCTAAAGAGCACAATGAAATGAATGAGTGTAACAATAAAATATAAGTATACCAGTCAACATTAGAAGTTTCCTCGGCTAAATAACACATGTCTTAAATTCTTTATACTCCTTTATAGTTGACATACTGTGGTAATGCAAATGAACAAGTAATAGGTTTATTCCATGTTGAAAAGAGAAGAAAGAAAACACAACATTTCGGCTGTGGAGCCTTTTTTCAGGTGCATATAACCCCCCATAGGAGATAATCAAATTACCTGGGTGGTTATAAATAAAATTTACATAATTCATGAGTTAGTAATTTCTTGCTTTTTAAGTCATTATTTCCTGTCTCATTCGGTCTCTAAGTGAAGACAACAACGTACTAACTGCCTTTTAGTCTGGAAAGATTAGTTCTATATAACTGTAGTTCTTTATAACACAACTCAAAACAATCACACATTAAGTTGATGATTCCAAATCCAAAAGAGCATGTTAATGGGAATCATCAACTTAATTTGTGATTGTTTTGAGTTGTGTTATAAAGAACTACAGTTATACAGAACTAATCTTTCCAGACTAGCAGTTAGTATTTACTTGTCTCATATAAGAGAAGCTGTGTTATGGCTGAAAATGTAAACCTCAGATCCTTTAGGACCCTGCGTATTATTTAATCAGCAAACCCCCTCTAATCTTTTAGGTTCAATTTGTAACGTCTTACTCTCCATACCACGTACTGTAGAGATACATGCTAGTAGAAAGCAATTCTGCTTGGCAAATGGCTCTATAGAAACGTAGATAGGTTCTCATTTTCTTTAAAAAGACTTTAAGGGTATTTATAAAAAGAAGCTGGGTGTCTTCTATCATGGTGTTTCCGCATAAGACTTATTCTAGATATTTCGAAACCTTGTCATTACAGTGGCACAGAGACGGCAATGCGTTCTGTCGGGCAATGTGACGTGGTTTTAGGATTTCGCTAATGTTTTTTTCAAACGGACCTTTGAACTGAATCGCCCAAATCTTTGCATAAACACATTCAGCATTATTAAATAGGCATGGATGAGCTATCAGGAAACTTATCAGGACCACCTACGAAATAAACGAGAAAACGAAACCTACTGAATGTCAGCTTAATTTATCAGCAACCAATGTTCTGAAAATATTACCATAAGATTAACATATATGTGAGACTTAAAATGTGCATTCTGCTTAAAGAAACGGGACTCAACAGTATTGAAAATCCAATTCTGTTTTCAAGATTGACTACTAATAAGGCAATTAAAAGGTTCTGTTTGTATTTAACTAAATGTATTGTATTTGTGATTTAACACATACGACTTTAAAATAGTGAAATCACAATTACACTTAATGAAACTAAAATTATTATTGCTATCCTAAATGGTTTATAATCGCAAAATGAAACTGAACTAATTCGTAACTCCTTTTCCCCGAAATGACGTCACGGTCGATCCTTCACACAGATGTGCTACGCTTGACGAGCAGCAGTTCGTAGTTTGTATTGGGTGTAATGGACTAATAAACATTTAGGTAAGCTTGGATCATTTCTACTTCCTAAATAATTTTCAGCGTTTTCATTATTTTTGCAAACTTAACACAAATATATGACTCAAATACAACAGAACTAGGGTATAAAAGAAGAGCATGATATTTAGTATATTTTCCTTCAGATAGGTTGGATCTTATCTTGGTTCCACGTATTGTAAGGAATCATGTGCAATCAATACATAAGTTTGTAAACATGTTAACAAGAATGTAGGAGGAAAATGAATGAGAAATCGTTGTGTATATTTCAATATACTTTCTCTGGACACTTAAGAAAGCGTTTTGCCTTTTATGTCGATTCAAGTATAACAATAATAATAATAGCTGTGCAAGTTGTCATAACGTAATTCAATAATGCAATAATTAATATGTTGGGTTTTTATTTCGTGTTGATATTGCTCTTTTTTACTTTCAGTTATATCCTTAATAATTCGCAATAGTTTGCTGTAATATTAAGATATATGTAAAATTTAAAATTTGGAGAAATAGCTGTGTTGTGCCTACTACAAACTTTCATAACCAGCCAACAGGCTGACTGCTACAGCTTCCGTTCCATTATCTTTATTTGATATCAAGTTTTTTTTTCTAGGTTAAAAAGAAGATATCACCCTCTGTTTTGAATACTCTGCTTTTAAAAAAAAGGTTTTTGTCGTGGAAGGGGCGGTGAAAGCACAGCCATATTTATATTAATAATTTGGCGGTCGAATAACTTGGGAAAGCTGTAATGTGGAGCTGACGTGTATTTCACAGTACTTAATACTGTGTATTTAATCTATTTAATTTAATTTGATGTCTCCAATTGTAACGTTCTGAATTGTAAGTACTGTTTTTTTTTTAAAAAGGAGAAGCTATGCGTTTTGATTTCCCCAACTTTGTACTTATCATCGTTACATTGTTTGATTGCTTCTAGAGAAAATAGGGTTGGCTATTTTGACATAGTGATCGTACAGTACTTCACTTCCATTTGTAACCCTACTTTTCACGAAGATTATTCAAAAGGATATGTGGTTTCCCAGATTATGTCGAATTAAACCGTATTTAACGTTGTTATTATTGCTGATATTAATCATTTTATTTTTTTTTTAAACGAAGGCTTCCTCCACTTTTTATCATCTTTGTTGTACACAGCAGGGATCTTAGAAGCTTGGAAACAAAAACGTATTGTATGTATAACAAGGGGGTTGATAGTGGTGGCAGCTGCAGAAGACTATTCTCTTCAGGCACCTTTTTGCTGTCTGGCCCTCAAAGCTCAACTCTCCTGGCATGCAATCCCAGTTCTCTTCTCTTTTCATGTGGAGCCAGCTGGTTCCTAAGGCACACCCCATTATTATTATTATTATTATTATTTTTTTTTTTTCTTCCATATAACCACTGTCTAAAATAACTAAGGGCTGTCAGTGGCCTCTACCGTTCTATCCGGTATCATTCTCTGTAGTTGTCCTTTATAGACCTGCAGTTTTGCTAGTGCTAGGCATTTCTAAGATGGTATTGCTGGAAGCTGCAAGACATAGGTATGTACTGTATGAAATCATTTAAGCAGTAACTGCACCTGCTTGGTTTTTGTCAATCCTTTCTCACTGCTCCGCTACAGCTCACCCTTACTACAGTACCTTTATTGTTCCACATGGGAAATGTGTTTTGCAGGCAGTACACATACATAATAAATTTAACACAACATGAACCCATTAACAAATAATTATCAGAGATCAGTCACTGTTGGCTCTTACATATGGCATCTGTATTTAACCCTGTCTTGTTCTCTGCATTGAAACCTCTGCTCTCCTCACATCTACTGTAGCAGTAGTGGCCTGACCATTCTTCAGTGTCCATGCTTCTGTCTGTTGGCAGTATAGCTGTTAGTGGTGGAGCTGTGACTACTGTGTGTGATCCTTGAGCCGGTATCTGTATTAGCTGTGTGACTCTTGTCTAGATCTCGCAGAAAATGGGTTGTGTGTTGGCTGCAGTGCCTGCTGTAATCTTCTCCTTCCCTACTGACTGTGTGCCACCTTTTAGGTGGAGCCTGACAATTTCCCCATACTGTTTCTAAGTTTTGGGAGCGTTTACAGCTGATGGGTGTGCAGGTCTCCTGGCATCTGCTTCCGCCCCTCTACAGGGGATGTGCTGCCTCTGTCTGCCATTCAAGCAGAGAACCAACAGAACTCTCTCCAGCCCTCTGCTCCTTCAGGCGCATGGAGTTGTCTGACTTCCTCTACTTCACAATGTAGCGAGTCAGGGCAGCTGGTGAGCTTGTTTCCCTCATCTTTTAAAATGGAATTTTCTCTGCCTTCTACAACCCTCCTTTAAGCAAGAGCTGCATGATGATGTAAGCTGGGTGGAACTGGATTCTCTCATAAGACCTGCTAGAATCGGCCCCTCCTTAGACTATTTTTGGCTTCTGCCGACCAGGTAGCAGATTTATGCTGCAGCCTAATTCCCATTCTTCAGCCTCCTTCTGTTTGCAAGCTTTTGCTGACAGCGGCCAGATGTTCTGTGTTGCCAAAGAGACAAGATCATGTCTTAGTATGGTCCCCGATGAGAATGCCATTTCGTTACTAATGCTCACCAGCTCCTGCAATCCCAGCACACTCTGTGACTCTGCCATCTTTTTCACATCACTTCATGCTTCCACCCTCACCACCATCTGAAAGGATCAAGCTGTGCCCCCACGGTGAGGTTTAGAAATTCCCTGGTCTCCATCAGCTTCCCATTGGCTTGGGATGTCATTTTAAGTCCATCCCTCAGCCAAGGGCAGTTGCCACTCAGAAACCTGCTGTCCTTCCCATCTCTCTCCAGCAAGAGTGGTTCCCAAATGGTTTCCTTCATTTTCATTCATGCCAAACTTTCAGGGCAGAGCTCCATGGCATTGGTAGTGGCATACTTGAAAACCTGAACACTGAAAGATATGCAAAACAAGACACCTTGTGGAAGGTACCCCTTAGTTATAGTCCTTTTTGGGGATGGTACAAAAGATGATGTGGAGTGTTTTCTAATGGGAGGCAATGCCAAACTCCTGGTAACTGTATGAGTTATTTAAAAAAAATCAAGAGCTTTACTTTGATTTAAGTGTGGTGCCTAATTTTCTTTTAATTGTAATGCTAATGCTTTGTAACAAATAAAATGTATTAATTAAATGTGAAAAGCAAGTAAAACATAGCAGAATGTAAACCACAGACTAATGTATTTTAGTAAATTGCAGAACTGCTCTTTGCTATTAAAAGGAGTTTGAATACAGAGTACTAGTAAATAAGCTATGCAAGATAGAAGATTAGGCATGGACTCAGATGTTTGTCAGAATCATTTATTTGTTATACACATGGCTTGTTATCAAAAAGTCATTTCATGTACACTACAACTAGTATACTTTTAGGAAAGACTACACCTTAAAACCTTGACAAAATAAGAAAGTGTGTTCAAAGAATTATAGGTTATATAGATGCCTTAATGTGGTCCTATGTTATTTTTAACAAACATTATTAAAATGGAAGCATCATTTTTGTTTTCCTGGTTTTAGAATGGATGAATTTACAGTTGCACAACACCTGAAGGCTGAAGGCAATGAAGATTTCAAATGTGGCCGGTATACATCGGCTATCAAAAAGTATGATGTCGCTCTCAGTATCTTGTTCAACCTTGTTCATTCCAGAGGGTAAGTATGAATTCATTGTTTCTGTTGCATTGACAGTATGTAGAAACATCTCAGATTGTATATAGGCTATATTTTTTTTTCCCAGGACTCATTTCTGTGCATGTGTATAGTAGCACCAATATATGTAAGAGCACCTAATAGATTCCTATTTTAACATGTTTTTTGGTATAATGGTGTTACAAGCTCTCTGTATCAAATTACTAGGCTGGAATCTGCTTTCCAGTCCTAATCAGAACATGATCTTCTCATCTTTTTATATTTCTACATCTAATGTGCAAATTGTAAGGGTTCAGTGCACAGAAGTTGTATGTGTCTAGGGAATTTATTTTACTATATGAAACTATAGCCCATAAACTGAAATTATAATGATAATAAAGAAATCCTGCATCTTTACCTTGTTCTTTCTTTTTACTTTCCATAGAGGACCTCTAGGGGAAATAAGCATACTGTTCTGCAACAAATCCATTTGCTACTACAACCTTCACCAATGGGAGGCAGCATTTATTTCAGCTAGCAGAGCACTGGAAATAGATCCTTCATCTATAAAGGCAAGTCCTATATACTGCTGATCATATGCTGTAATTGACGTTTTTGTTTTGATGGGACTTAGTCTTCATAACATTTTAAAATGTGCACATTCTTAATATTTGTCTATTAGTAATAAATACGATTTTATTTAACACATCACAGTTATTAATTCTTTAAAGGAATGTATGACTCACTGTATTTTACTCCCATAGTGGAAATAGTTACAAAATCACTGTACCATTGGAAGTTTTTCTGTTTTTTTCTGAATAACATTTATTTAGATTTTATTTTAAATATGCAAATTACTCAACTGATTGAAAGTCCACATACTATATTATTGATATATCGGTCTTGATCTCTTAATTTTATTTTTTTAACAGCCTATCTTAATTTAGGCTATAGTTGTTGTTTTTACATGGTTTCCCTTTGTACTGTATTTTCGTTTTTCAGAACTAAGAGCAAGATTTGAAATTGTTCTCTCTTGGTAATTACTTCAGTTTTTTATACAGGAAGGTTTTAAACATACTAAATGCTGTGAGGTGTTTTGTTTTCTAGGCTTACTACAGGCGTGGGACTGCGTTGGTGAAAATGAGGAACTATAATGAAGCAGTGCAAACATTCTTGCAAGGTTTGGAGCTTATTAAAGTGGATACTCCAAGACCAGTCATAGCAGATGTTGTAGTTGGACTCATCACTGTTACTGATAACTGGACTGGTAAGTTAAAGTTTAAATGTCCTCAAGAATGAGTGATTGTCAAACTTTTTAGTTTTTGTATAGTATCTGCTTGCATCTTTAATAAATATCAAATAAAATATTACTGTTGCTTGTATCACGTTTCTGTCATGATGTTTTTCAGTGGTTAGTTGGATTAGTTTAGCTCTTAAATCTAGCAGTAGTGTGGATGACCATTTTCATTCAGACAGCTTTATCTAAAAAGCCAGTAGCTGCAGCTTGCACATTATGTAAATGTGAATATTTATTACCAAGTTAATGCATCAAACTTGATCTGTTCTGAATAATTATGGAATAATCTTTCATTCTAACATGAATAACAGGGGTTTATTGTCTCTTTTTGAAAGGGATAATTCTTGGGTGTAAAGTTTTAGGAAAGCATGATACATTTTTTAATTAATCTCTGTTGATACTCATCATGAGTATTAATTGTGAAGTAAATAAAACTATTACTGGGAAAGGTTAGACTTAGTCGGGAAAATATTAATTGAAATAAACAACCTAGGTTCCTAGGAAATCAAATCTTTTAACAGGATGAAAAAAACAGCTATAAGAAATTATTGTTAAAAACACAGAAAATGTACAGGGGTCCCCTGTTTACATGGCTGATGTGAAACATAAAGTTACAACGTACTGTAAATGGGAGAATTTTCTCTCGTAAAAAACACTGTAAATAGACATTAATGGTGATTAGAATGGCACAAATCATCCTCTGATGATGCAAACTGAGATGCATTTCTACATAAGAAACAATGGAACAGTAGTGATAGGGACTAAGATATGATGAGGTATAATGACTATACATACATCTTTAAATGTCATTACATTTTTTATTTTTATATAGTTTAAGCATATTAAACTATATAAAGGAGAGTGTGAGAAAAGTGTCACTTTCAAAGATTAAACAGTAAGGTGTTTTACACTGTAATTTTTAGTTGTTAAACTCACCTCAACAAAATTAAAAAGTTCAATTTATTTATCTCCCTCTGAGAAATCACTGAGTCTCGACTGCAGATGTTTTAGTTGGAGAAAGATCATGTTGAGGCAGGTGGAGGAGGGCTCTCGTCATCCTCAAACTCAACTGCTGCTTTTGACTCTTGTCCTTTTTATACCTTTTCGTACTTGCAAGCAATAAATTGCAAAGCCATAATGCACTATTCACTACCACTGTTGTTGAGGTAAAATGGTCAGACTTGTAAGATTAGATGCTTAAAGCACAGTTCGAGCACCTCATTAACATAGAGTTAAAATAATATTGCCGTGCGATGCTTTATGAATACTTTTTGAAATGTGTATATATATATTTTATATATATACTGCAGGGTATTTCATACTTATTACAAGGTAAACTTGAAATAATTCTAGTAAAAAAATACTCATTATCTGTGCTCTTGACATGCACAATAGACTGATTTCTGGGGCAAACCTAAGATCAAAAGACGTCAGTTCTAGGAACTTTTATGTTGTTTGTCAGAAAACATCAAAGGTCTAAGGGTTGAAAGATGTAAACCAAGGAACTCGTCCCTGGGACCCCCTGCATAATAAACATTCTAGCTTCTTGTGTAAAATAAAAAGCTATATTTGGCCATTGTTATTTGGCTTTGTCAAAATACAAACAGCTGTCATTATTGTTTCCTCTAGCCCCATTTGTTCCATATGTTATTGATTCAATATTGAGAAAGAACTTTGGACCTGAAATTTGGAAACTTGTCTTTGAAAAACTAGCGTCTAAAAACCATTGGAAGGTAAGGGTAAATGCATTTAAACTGAATTCTGTTATTTTTATTTGATTGCTAGACATATTATTTAATTATTCAAGCAATGTTAGAGGAACCTACCACAAAAATATTAAATAATGTCTTAAGTAAATAATAACTTCAGTCTGTCATGAAGACTACAGGGAAATTCACAACAAATGGGCAAAAATACTTCTTTAGGAGACATAATGGAAGTAAATTGAAGAAAGATATCAGTTTGTACTAGCTAAAATTCCCACTTTTTCTGGATAGACAAGTATTTTGAGAAACTGTGTTCATAGGATCATGAGGGATCATATGAGCATATAAATTAACTGGCCTTACCAGTTACATTTTATTGATCATTTGAGAGATTAAGAAAGGGACAGATGATGCCCCTTATACAACATGCACTGAACTTTTTTACAATATATAAAAGAAGTGTTGAAAATGAGCTGTGAATGATTTATTTCTCTTTTCTCTCTAGAATGCTCACATTTTGATCTCTTTTATGGGGAGAAGGTTGCCAAGAGAAATAAATCTGTCTTATATCTCTATGAAGACCCTTTTTGAGGTCAGTACTTTATTTGTTAAGTATTTCTGGTTTTGGTAACTATTTGTAATCAGTAAAGGTCTCATGTCTTTGCACTAACAAACTACCTTTTAAGTTGCAAAGCAACAGAACTGTGGCCCTTAATTTGGTGGTTTGTTGTGTGGAGTTTACAAAAGCTTTTATTTTGCAGGAACATGTAACTTCCAGGCAATATGCGAATATTAAATGGGTGTCATTTATGTTCAAATGGCTAATCGATGGTGGTGCTAATATAGAGAAAATTGGACCTTTCCCCCTTCATGCCATAATGGAGCTGTCAATCAAGACACGTAAGTGGACTGTGGGTTCATAGTCCAGCATGGTCAAACATTATTTTGTGTTAAAACAAAACTCACTTTTTCTATTTATTTTTGCAAAATTATTTAGGATTTGCTGATGTTCTAAGAATGTTAGTATGAACATGTTGCCTAGGAACTGTGTGAAGAGCTGCCACCTTGTTATCACTATTGAAGACCAAACAAGGTTAAGTTCTGGAAGGCCAAGGACAACTTCCTCCCATATTTCTCTTATTGAAAGTAGAATCTCAGAAACTCAAAGAAGTTATTCCCGGCACAATAAAGGCATTGTTGAAAATGTTGCCTAGTAAAATCTTGTTTAATTAGGAAATGCCTTAAGCGGTTTTGTATTTTGTTTACCAGAAAACTAGTTCCAAATTTTAAACAAAATTTCATTGAATTGAGCTTCTTGATTATGGTTCTTCATTCAAAAAGGTTGCGATTAAACCTAAAAAGCCAGAAGTAGAAATCTGATTCGAGATAACGTACAGTATAACAATTGCATTAGCTCTGAATTGGTGGTGTTAATAATAAAATGTATATTGTTTAATTTCCTGACCTTTAAAATGTTGGAAAAAAAGTATTTCTGAAGTATTTAGGTTATTATGATTTTAATATGCAATTTTTCATTGCATGGAAGCAGTTTTACTGTACAGTTAAATCTATAATTCATTCAGTATCAATTGGGCATGAATGTTGTTAAAATGGTCAAAAGGCTTGAAAGGCTATGACACAGTAAGACTTGTTTCATGTGGCGATCTTTTGTCACAGGTGAATCGGGTCAAAACCTGATGAGTTACTTCCTCTCTCGGAAGCCAGCATTTAAAGAGAGAATCAATGAACAGAACAATGAGGGCTACACTCTCCTGCACATTGTCTCCACTTTCCCAAGTGTTCAAGGATATCAGCCCAAATGTAGGTACAGTTAGGAAAAAGAAACATTTTTTTCTGTGAAAGAGCTCTTAACAATATTGAGATAGAACACTTTGCTGTAACTTCAGGTCTTTGAAATATCTTGCAGCCATTAGACCTGTTTTTAGATGCAATGTTTTTCAGCACTTGTAGATGTATTTTTATTTAAATTGTCTCCTAAAACAGATTGAAAAATCTGCTACCAGGCTTCATATGAACTTTAACCAAGCACACATGATATATTTTATTTACATAAATAATTATGCAAAACTCATTTGTCTATATTTGAGACTTGATGGAAATTAGGTTAATTCTATGTTTTCAGAGATACAGTTCTCTTATTTTTATTGATTTCTCTATAAGCCACCACTCATCCACCATTCTGATTCTTATTTACACCTCAAAAGTATAAGGTTAAACATTTTTTTGTGGTTTAACAGTACAAACTGAAGATGTGATCATGCTGCTGCAAATGGGGGCTGATCCAAAAATCTGTGACAAGCAGAACAAGCAAGCTGTTGATTATCTGAAAAAGCAAAAGAACTTCAAAGCCTTCGACGCCATTAAGAGACATGAATCCCACACTACTTCCCAAGAGACTGCAGGTAGGTCATGGTGAAATTGTGTTGATAAAAACTATAAAGTGGAGGAAAATGTTTCTACTTCTTTTGAGAATAGGGAGAAAACAGGAAAAGTAACGAAAGAGCAAACAAAATTCCTGGGTCTGTAAGCCCAGTAACAGAAAATTTTTCAGTCCTCTCAGATTTTTCTCACAGTTTTTTTCAGTTCTGGGTTAATTCGTTAATTAGTTCAATCTCCCCTTATACCAGGTTTGCATGTTAGCCTTTTATAAGGTAATTCTTATGTTCATAATTACATAATGTTAATTGGTCAGCATTTATTCCAGCTTTTTAGAAGTCTATTAGTTATGTAGTGTTACTTGCTTATACAGTATATGTATTTTTTTCTTACAGTTTTTCCTAATCAATTAAGTCTGTTAATACATATACACATTATATATAGTTGTGCAAAAGATTAGGCAACCGTGTTTAAATTGTATTTCAACAAATGTCTGAAGTGAACAAAAGGTGACACAACTACTACTGTAAATGGTACAAAGTTAAACCCAACATTTCTGCACATTATAATGCAAAATTACTATTTATTTTCTGACATTAACAGTTTTAAAAAATAAAGCGAATTTAGCATGTGCAAAGTATTGGGCACACTTCCAGTTGATTCATTACTACTTTTTTCAGTTGTGTTTTTCAAAGGCCCCAAAACTTGAGTGACCCATTAGGTCTTAAATTAAGTCAGGGGACGACAATTCCAGGGTGGAACAAATACTCTTGACCCTTTTAGCCTCTCAGGTTGTGTTGAAAGTTGTTCTGTTTACTTTTATCAACCATGGGCTTCTCTAAGCAGCTGTCTGAGGACTGGAAAATAAAGATAATTCACTCTTACAAAGCAGGAGATAGCTATAAAAATGTCTCTGTACACTTACAACTTGCAATTTCAACTGTCAAAAACATCATTGAGAAATGGAAGTTAAAGGGATAGGTTGAAGTTAAGGCAAGATCTGATCAGGTCTGCAAAGGACCTGCAGAAAGGTTTACCGCCATTAGTAGTTGCCCACAAGTTCACAGTTCAGCGTTGCTTACAGGAAAATGATCTGCATGGGAGAGTTGTCTGAAGAGCTTTTCTACAATCTCATCTCAAAAGTCAGCATCTAAAATAAGCCCAAAAAATTGTGTGGCAGCCACTGGCACAGGAAATATTTTGTGGGTGGAAGGAAGAATAGATTCAACTAAATATGCTTAAAGCTTATTAAAAATTCTAGAAGCCAATGTCAGTGAAAAAATTCAATCTGAAAAGAGGTTGGATATCTACATACAGTACCTCAAAATCAACCATGAATTACACTCAGGAACAAAAGAAGGTTTTGGAATGGCCTTCACAGTCCACAGACTTCAGTATTCTTGAAAATCTGTGAGTCGATTTCAAACATGCAGTGTATGCAAGAAGACCTAAAAATATTTCTGAGCTAGAAGAGTTCTGCAATGAAGAAAAAATTCCAAAAGCAAAAACAGAAAGACTCTTAGTTGGCTACAGGAAATGTCTGGAAGCTGTGATTATCTGCCAATAGAAGTGTTACTTAGTACTAAGCACAAAGTTTTGCATGTGTCAAATTCACATTTTTAATATTTTGAATATCTACAAAACTAAATAAATAATATTAATTGAGGATTGACATTTGTAGAAAGATGTTATGTTCACACATACAACTGTAAGTGTAAAGTACAGATGCAGCCATTCAAAACGCACGGTACAACCTCATACTGCGTGAAATTATCTACAGTTAACCACGTTGTACTGCAGTAAGTGATTGGCTGGCCAAAATGACTGACGGGACACTCGTGGTACATTGGTTGTTAGTGAAACGATTTAATCTCTTTGCTATGCATGTTTTAATCCACTTAATATTGAATATTAATATGGAATTTTACAACTAAAGGGAAATTTTAAGTAGCTGATCATAAAAAGAAGAGGAGCATAACATGTCTGAAGGTCATAAACAATATTAATTTAGGAACATAAACATATTATGTAAACTGTAGTTCAGGTGGGTAGCTGCATCACCATGTGTAGGCTGCAAAGGAACAAGTCATTCCATGCTGAAAAGAGAAGAAATAAAACATGAGGGAGGTTCCACGGCCGAAACGTTGTGTTTTCTTTTATCTCTTTTCAGCATGGAATAAACCTACTACTTGTTCCTTATGTAAACTGTATGTGGCTGGTATTGGTAGTTTAAATTAAAAATACACATCAATATTCAACTTTCTTCCTAAACATTTTAAGCATCACATTTTTTTATTCGGTTACATACCGAATGAAATACTGTAACATACGAGTTTGTACATGCTTCTTCTGACTATATTAAGTATAACTTTTTATGAAGTATATCAAATGTTTTAACCTTTCCTATGAACATTTGCACTTGTTATCACAGTTAAAAAACACATACTTTTTAGAATTTGATTAATAGGGAATATAATATGGAATCACGTATCTAAAGAAATTAATAATGATATTAATTTAAGGATCTAAATATATGTATTTATATACCTGGTAGTATTACTGTAATCCACTTTCTTTGTAAACACATTTTATTTTTAATTTGACTCATTCAGGCATGATGAAGTATTATGTACACTATATAAACATGTTTTTTTGTATATATATTTTAACATATTCAATGTAAAGTTATAATAATAATGAAATAAATAAATAAAGCAAATGTGAATACTGACAACATTTCAACCGGTTTAATTTAAAACACTTTATTCAGAGGGGCAATTGAACAGACGCCTCAAGACTTAAAACAAAATCGTATATATTGTGATTAGAATCGGGAATAACAAAGCGGTATTAAAGATACCACTGAAACTATAATAATGTGTCTGATCATTTAATAACAGTATTAATTTAATAATAATAATTTCAAGCTTCTGTATCTTTTTCAAAGTCATTTTCTTTCTGCAGTTTTCATAAGCTTTGCTTATTAAAATACCTATTTATGAGACGCAATGTTTCAGATGTGAATAACTTTATGAACAAATGACTCGGAGCCTGCAACCCACTGCGATTTGGACACAGAATGATTAAAAATGGGAACAGGTGAGGCAGGCAGAGGGAAGGGCAATGACTTTCTCTGCAAGCTAGTCGAAGAAGTAAGTAGGTGGCTCAAAGCTCAAAGCCCAGCAGCCACAATAATGAATACAGTGTTTATTCTCCTAGAGTACATAATGTGGTTATGTATCTGGAATGTTTGCAAATGTTGCGATAATTGTACAGTATATGCTTTTTGGAACAAATTTTTTGAGCAGGTAATTGCTCACTTCTGGTGCTGTAGAGTGTTTTGGAATCTACATGCTCTCCCCGCATAGTTATCGACAATGAAAATGTCTCTGGAATAGGAATACTGTATAAATGATAAAGTGGAGGCTATGGAGAAAAGAAAATCGCAACAGAAAGCAAATGGTCCAACATGTACATTAATTGTGACACCTGTGATGCGTCAAATGCATATCCTACAGTGTGAACGCATTTGGAGGCTATTAAAAAAGGTTGGTTGAATTAACAGTCCTGGTGTGGTGAGTTTAGACTGTTTCCTGACAGTCTTGGGCAAAAGGAACCTATCTTTCATTGGAAGGTTCGCCTATTCTATTCGTACATGAGAATATACAGGGGAAGGAAAACTGCCCGTGGTCATTTGTTTTACTGACAACTTTGTTTTTACGTTAACACAAACTCTGCTTAACATAGCCGCTTGTAAGAGCAAGGTGACTTTCTGCTATCTAAACCATTTTTTACAGCTTTTAAAGTAACGCAATGTTTGTGTTAGGCAGGAACACGTCATTGTATCTTAATTTTTATTTCATTTTTAAAAATAAATATAAGGTAATCATCAATCAAATGTCCTGTTTTTTCTTAACACTCGTTTTTCCATACTGTAGTTTTAAAACTTGAACAAAGATGTATGCAAACAGCGCATATAGTTTTGAAGCCACTACAGTATAACTTGTGGGAAATACATTTATTTGTACTTTATCAAAGCTTAACTAGTTAAGAGCGCGCAACATTACAAACTCTGTATTAAAAGGAATATGTCAAAATATTTCCAAAATAATCACAAGTGAATGAGTTGATGGATTCGATCATAATAATTCGATAATAAAACCCTGCGCGTTTTGAATGGCTGCATCTGTAAATCAGTTAAAAACACTTTTTATGCATGTAGAGTCTTTGAGTCTTTGTGTAAGCTGTAAGTTCTTTTTACCCTTAAATTAAACATTTGAAAAACTTTATTTTTGTAAACGCAACACGCATTCCATACAGAAATAAAATAACGTTTTCTACAGGTGTTAAGCAGATTAGCAGGTTGCTGACAAAATAGCGCACAGTTCACTAACCGTCCACCACTGCCCAGTGATATAACTTTAATATAAACAAGATCTACTGTAGTACCTGGTGCAGTTTTTTTTTTTAACTTATTTTGAAATGATCAAATCCCGGGTGTGAGTTCATAAATCCAGAATTATGTACTATCCCCACGTCTCCGAAACACCTGACCATCTACTGTAAAGCTTTTAGTGCTTTGTGTATATTCCAATCGCAGTGGGGGCAGGGTGTGCGGGGAAACATTTAGGCAGCAATTGAATTGGGGATCTGTATTCTTCACACCTGAAACATTGTTTTCTCCGAAAGCATTTTCTTCCCTCTTCAGCTGATCTTTTGCTGCCTGTGCATGCTTACACAGCTCCCTATGCGAATTCTCATTCTTGACTGAGAAAGCTTTAGGGAACTCTACATTTTTATTTTCAACAAATTGTAAATAGGACATTTATTTTGGTGTTTTTATTAATTTTTCACTTAAGCGAATGGAGGAGTGTCAGCTGTCAAGGAGAGCCCAACCTCCCCCCTTCGGGTAAACTTTTTTTTTACCTGATGGTAACTGTAACAAATTGTCACGTTTCACATCCTTGCGAAACAATCATAACGTTCTCATCCAGTCAAAGGTTTGATGTTTTTTTATTTTTAAACCGTGATCTTGACATGCAGGTGTGAAGTAGAGTTAACAGCTTCAGATCTAAAAGGTTATTAATAATATCTTCCATTAACATTGGTATGTTCTTACAAGTGCAAAAAGAGGTGATACACAACGTGTCTCCTTTATAACTCTTCAGTTTACAGAGAAATTCCGCCAGAACCACACAACATTGTCCAATAATACTCTTCTTGTGTCTACTTTGTAGTTTAGCAGGATTTGTGCGATAAGCACATTGTTTAATGGGGATAACATTACCCACGTCTATATCACTGTACAACACAGATTTGAGTCTGAGTGTCTGTTAATAAAACAGAGCGCCTTCCAATACATATAACTAATTCATGATTTCTTTATCCATTTCAGCTAAATGAGGGGAATTAAATCAGTCAGAATCTGCCAGTTGTAAAAATAACCCTTCTTCCCTCCTTTGTTTAACTTAAAGAATTTCGTGAAGAAATCCATAATCACAATACCATCATTTAATTTATCCAGATACACAAATTCACGCCAGAGCCAACAACAAGCTATAATAGTGGACTATTTTTATGTATTCACTATATACAGTAAGAAACAAACCGAAAGTAATACTCTAATCGCGCTTTGAACCATTGAGTGCAGTGCTTTGTCAATTACCACTACAAGGACAATAAAAGTTTTCTTTTTTTTTAATGAAATGGATGTCAAAATATTTCTGAAATGTCCACCTGTGATATTTTAGCTGCTTAGTTACACGATACCATATTCATATAACTATCAAGTGATATTAAATCACTACAACATTTATTACAATTATTAATTGTAGCCGTAAGTCACAAAATGATTATTTTAATGGCTTTAGAATCCAACCATGCGATATAACTCAAACAACGCACACAAAGAGGTACTAATACACGAGGATACATTTATTAATACATAGAAAATGCATGTAAACCTAACAGATCTTATCGTGAGGGTTATCAGAATACAAAAGATATATATTCATTCAGTTACAAAGTCTTACACATATCAAGAGGGCATACGTTCGGTATATCATTCATTTAGACCGTTTCGTAATTGAACTTGGTTACAACTTTTACATTAGATACTCAAAACAAGTAAATAACTCTTAGGAATTAAATTGATATCAACTGGTTGGGATAACAATTGAATTCTCGAGCAGTAATGCAGTGAAGTTGAATACTCATCCGATCTCTGGGGATTCAGATCTCCTGCGGGCTCTCTGGCTCCATGCCAGGCTGTGCTGTGCTGCTTGCGACGGTGCGCTGC